CCCAAATATGAGTTCACGGGTGGCTCCTTTCCGGAATGTTTGGCGCACAAATGGTGTCAGCTGGACGCTCACTGTGGCGAAAAAACATGTTAGAGGGAAAGGGCTGCTAGCCTTCTGAAACCCAATCAAACAGGAAATCTTGCAGGGCTAGGCTTCCAACCTAACAAAATCACAACACCCGAAATCAAATTGGCTGCACAAGGTGACGAATTGAAAAGCATCTGACTTTGTGGGAAACAAAGTCTGCGGCATTGCTGCTGGAAATACAGGTGGAACCCTGTACTGGAAACCACTTTCTATTCTTAGTTGCTGTTGACCCCTCTGCAAAAAGTTTAACGTTTTGTGGGTTTAATACGGACTACCCCTTGATTTCAACCACCAAGTTAAAGTCTAAAGATCCAACCCAGTAGCAATCAAGTATTGGAAATAAATCTGAAATCCTGTTTTGTCTCCCAACTACGCACTCAAGGCCCTTCATGCCTCGGCACTCGATCAAGACATGCCTCCCCTGCAGCGCGCCATTCACCTCAGCGACACCCTGCTGGGATTTCGGGGACCCAAGCTGCAACCACCCCTGTGCAAGGTGTTGAGCCGTTTGCGGGTCCAGTGAAATCTCCACAGTTGTTTGAGAAGCTAAAGTCCAAAGATCCAACCAAAATAGTCAAAAAGCAAGGTAGAGGCCTAACCAATTCAACTGAGGTTCTGGGCTGCTCACGTCCGATCGAATAGTCTGCCCGAAAGAAGCAACCCAAAGGCTGTTGAAATTTACCGCTCAAGTGGTCCGCACCCAAACAGAAACTGAAACCCTCCCTGGCCAGTGGGCTCGTGCGGCATCCCATCTCTGCCGAGTCGCAACTTTGGTGATGACCTGCAAGGCTCAGCCCAACTGCTTAAAATCAGGCTTCTCCTTATAAACAACTGTCCATAGGTGGCCTTTTGGAACAATAGATGGCCCTGGTAAATGGAATAAACCCCATCTAAATCAGTGCCATCTATTGTTAACCAAACTAACCTAGAAAGGACACCTGTGCAACTGTTCGCCCTTCTGTCAAAACATCAACTCCTTCAGGAGCAAACACCAGGACATCATACTAATTGGGCAGCACCAAAACCATATAGTCTAAACCCATGTTTTCACACTTTGATGACCACCATCGCAGATATGGGTCTGTCTTTTTCTCACCCCCCGCCCCCCCAAAAAAAAGACAAATGATTGTGTTCCTCTTGGTTTCCTGTAAAATCCACCCAAAAAGAGGCCCCAACTCCACAAAACATACCCAAATATAATCATGGTTAGAATGTGTATTCTATTGTTTCTTCCCTTTGAGTGTCTGGTAAAATGTAAAATGTATCTAAGTCTACCCCAGGAATCATACTGGAGGCATCAAACGCCATCTTTGCGCAAACTCTGCCTGCTGCTGCGGCGGCAAGACGCTCTGGAAGGGAAACAGCACCTCCACCTCCCGGGCACTCCCTGGGACCAGCCGTATCCGAACCAAGTTCCTGTACTACAGTAGGTCCTCCAGTAGAGAGGTTGGAATAAGTTGGTACCCATTTTTTTTCTGTAGCTTATTTTAGTGGGGGAACCCTCCCCCCAAAAAGGGTAAAAGGGCACTACTGGGGGACCTAGTTTAACTGTGGAAAGACAAACCCTGCAAAAGTTGGGATGAATGAAACCCTGTGAATACTGGTATAGGCCACCTACTAACTGGGTCTGTCTCAAATAAGGTGCTCGGACCGGGAAGGGTATGATGCGCGGGTATGATTCCAGGTATTATGATTCGAGGGTATGATTCAAACACCGGACCCAACAAAAACGCACAGAATGAAGAATAACAAAGGAACCAGAAGCATCCTATGTGAACATATTTCCGCCCGGAAGTTGAAACCGTGGAATGGCCATCGTCCCCAAAAGTACGAAAGTCTCGCTGGTTCTGAAGGAGGTCTGCAGCCAGTCAGTGCGCGCACTGCGCGCGCGGGCCTCTCCTACTTGAAGCCTCTGACGGCAGTTGCCGCTCGCCAAAGGGCAGGGCTTTCGGGGACGCCACGGCTCCTGCGCAGTGCGTAGAAGACAATGGCAGTGGCCGGGACTCAGCTTTTCAGGGATAGTGCATTTGTGGCGCCTTTAATTACGAGGCCGGTTCAGATTGCATACTTTGTAGCTATAAAAGCAAACACTTGTGCGTTTCTTGGATCCTGTGCCTGCTAGAGCCAATGGCATTCCGATGCACTTGTCAATGTTGTGTAGGTGCAGCCGTGCATGTGGCACAAACATCCGCTCACCAGCTGACAGTGCTGTGCGTCCTCACCAACAGAGTGTGCGTGATGAAATCGCCATCTGGAGGATTCCCCATCTTGCTTTAAGACACACACACACACAGAGACTTCGGCAATGAGCTTTGGTGCTCATGCCCATGCAAGAGTCGGGGCCCAAACAAGGTACAACCGTGTTTATGGGGATCTCGCTGGCAGGATATGCTTCCAAAGAAAGATCAACACCTGGATGGCATATCGATCTATGAAGCGACCAAGCAAGCCATGGATTAAACACATCGAGTTTCGGGCAAACGACTTTCTTGCCCAATCGGCTGACACTTGGATACTGCATATCCAACAATGGCCTTGACTCAAGCATCAAACCTTAAGGTTCCACTCCCGAGGTGAAGGAGGTAAAGGGAGGCTGCTGCTTGATGCTACACGTAGGAGACATGCAAACCAATGCGTGTTTGTGCTTGGTTCATCTTGATAAAAGCAGGGAACCCAATCCAACCAAACGACCGAAAAAAGCCAGCCAACCAACCAAGCTTGGTGAATGTAGTTGCGCGGCAGGAAACCCACCCAAAGGCAGCTTCCAAGGGCACGGACTCCAGAGAGGCGAAGACCGTCCCTTTCAGCTCATTTCAGCTCCTGAATGGGATCCTCCTCCAAGCCAGTCTGCTCTGGATGTCGCTGCGGCTCCTTGCAAAAAGCAACACAAGGCATATCTTGCAAACCTCAACAGGGGTTTAACAACTTGTTCATTTTAGCGCCAACACGCGCCAACGCGGCATGTACCATGCGAACACGTTCCTAAATAGTCGCTCCCAGCTCCTTTGCTGTGCTCAAGGCGCTGCTTGTGCCTGTCAAACCGGCAACCCAGATTTGCCTAAAGTCACTCAAAGGCCTTCCTTGTTCAACACTGGTCTTCCTTATTCAGCATATCCACAACATAGTCTATGGAATAGTCATGAGCATTACAAAGACGCCGGCCAGCATATTCTTCAAAGTGAGCATCTGGCTCCCTGCTCTCTTTCCGCAAAGCTGTTCGACTGGATGCAAGGAAGAAAGCGGCGATCGCGGATATGCCACAGAACCAACGGAACACGCTCGCCTGAGCTAAAAGCGACGCTTGGGAAGGGACTCCCTACCAATTGCCAGTTGCCAAGATTCAGATCATATTCCCCTGTCATGTTCAACACTTTTTTGGGTCATGGTTCTGATTGCCATGCCCCACTTGCCGGTTCTCAGCCGGCAACCCCTAAAACCCTTCCAACTTGAGGTTTCTTTGTAGAAAAATCCCCACCGCTTCCTTCCCCACACCCGGACTCGGAAGGTCATTCCCGAGCTCTCGCACCAAGACGCCCATCCCAGCCCCACATGACTCTCCTCCCGTGTCTGCGCCAGTGCCAAGTCTAAGGCATCGAATCTCCGCTGTAAGCCTAGGATCAGAGATGTCCAGCGCAAATCCTTCACACACACCCGCTGCCAAGGACTGAGTCCCTGTTTTCAAGAAACACATTAACCCAAAACCCCAAATTATGGTGAACTGTCAGTTCCAACTAGTGGGTGGTCCTTACATTTCAGCTTCTTGGAGAAGATCTTTCGGGGTATTTACGGCTTTCAACAGGCCTACAATGTTGACCCATGAATAAATCCCTGTGCGGCATTTGTGAATATTGAATATTTTGGGAAATTGAAAGAGCTGAAAGGATAGCCATGCATGTTGCTGTTTGCCACTGGTTTCGTGCAGACATTAGGGGAAAACCGAAATCCCCAGCCCGAAGCAAAAGCCAGGTACTGATGTGGGCGGGCCCCAACTCACCAATGTTTGGAGCTCTATGCTCATATGTGCCTGCATGTTGCTCACCGCCCAGTGGCACGTTTGAAAACAAACAGAGAGGCCAGCGGGTCAAATGATGCATGTATTCTATAACTTTATCTATGTTTACAGGACTTACATTTGTTGTTGGACTGAAACTCATTTGTCATAGACATGTACTATTATATGATTTCATCTCAATCTATAATGTACTGATAGTTGTCATATCTGGTCTACATATTGTTAAAATACATAATTAAACGTATGAAGTTTTGATCCTGTGTGTTTTCTTCTTATTGACGTATTCTAGCTTGTGAAGCTCTATTATTTGTATCATTTTTTGGACATGGACTTTCCTGTATTGTCTTCTCAAACTTTAGGGATGTGGCCAGGAGAAGCTTTCTATCTTGCGGATTATTGTGAGTTTAGTTTGCTAATACATGTCGTTCATCTGATGCTGCTATATCAAGGACATGCTTTGCATGTATACAACTCGGCATCCTAACTCTCATTCAGCAGCAGTCATGACCTCCCAAACGCTAAACATATATCTTCTTGACACATCGCAGGGTTGAACCAACCACTGGTTGACCAAATCATTCGTGATTTCGCATCCAACTTTAGGTTTCCGTTGAACACGGGGCCCTTTGCTGCGCTTGTCTCTCTCTCTCTCTCTCTCAAAAGCCCCAAGGAAAATCTACAGGGACTTAGCCAAACCCCTGGTATGGGGACCCTGTTCTTTTGACCCCCGACCTGTTTTTCGGACCCCCAAACCTTCCAAGGTAAGATGGAGGTCGAAAAACCGGCTTGTTGGAGAAAAAAAACGGGTCCTTCCATTTGCTTAAGACCCCTGGAAAAATATATTTCCAGTGGCAAATTCGATTGAACACCAACAAGGGAAAAAAACACATCTTAAGCAAATGGAGGGGGCTTTCCATGGCATTTGGCTGGCCAAGCTCCTTGAATTGCTTGGCTTCGAGCTGTCCAGGCTGGACTCCCCGAGTCGCACCCATCCGGCCGAGCTGGCCGCGTGGTTGGCCAAGAACTCCTGGCAATACGGCCCCAGCGAGACAAAAGCGGCTGCGAAAACCTAGGGGCCCCAAAACAAAGAACCAACCGAAACAACAAAACTACACAAAACAACCAACAGAACCAAAGACAAAGAACCAACACAACCAAACAACAACCAAACACAAACAAAAAACAACCAAACAACGACCAAACAACAACAAACACAACAAAAAAACAAACACAACCAAACAAATCCAAACTACAACCAAACACAACGAAAAACAACCACACTACAACAAACACAGCCGAAAACAACCACAAACAAAGAACCAACCAACAACCAAACAACAACCAAACAACAACCAAAAACGACCAAACACAACCACAAACAAAGAACCAACACAACCAAAAACAACCAAAAACAACCAAAAACAACCAAACACAACCAAACACAACCAAACACCACCAAACAACCACCAAACAACAACCAAACATAAACCAAACATCAACAAACACACCCTGAAAGAAAAAAAACCTATGGCTCCAGACTTCACAAATCCTGGACGTCCCACAGGTCTCCTGCACGGAGGCTTCGTCCAGCTGCGAGGCCAGGCGCTCCGCGTGGATCTCCACGGGGCCCCGGCAGTTGGGGCCTAAGCCCAGGGATCCGAGAAAAAAACGACAAAAACTCCCCAACAAACAAACGGGGAAACAACAAAAACGCTGGAAACAAAGGAACAACATTTAAAAAACAACTCCGCGAAAGAAAAGAAGAAACAACAGATATTCCCCAGAAAAGAATCTGGGATACAGATTATCCCTTACAATGCTGGTATGTATTTGGCCAGACACCTAAACTATGTGCTTTAAACCCGTCCCACTATTAGGGGGGAGTTCTCTCCAAACGTGGTCTGAATCCAACCACTAAAAGGGGACGCCCCCTATTAATCAACCAGGGGTTTGGACAGGGGACTTGGCCGTGTCAGAAATGCACAGAGCCCAAAATGCGGCCACTTGGATGCCCGGCTGCAAAAACCACAACGGGCTGAGCGCCCCACAGCTGGGCTGGGCAGCACGGCTCCTGGTCAAACCGAACATACGCCACAAAACGGAGCGATGTGTGGTGCGTGTCGCTTGAAGGAATGAATGTTATTTTACTGCATTAATATTGTTTATTTTCATTTTCTAAAAAAACACCAGTGGGTTTGGGTTTCATATGTCGTTGTTTTCTTCACAAACAACTGTCGTCGTCGTTGTTGCAGTTTGTTGAGGTTGGATTTGGATGGCATCCCTTGACACATCTGCGAACAATGGCCACACATGGCAGACCTTTTGGCCACGGCAAAGCGGCACCAGCTGATTGAGGGGGCCCGCCCTAGCTGTTTTCATGTGTGTGTTTCCAAAACACACGCGTGTCCTTCATTCTTTCTCTCCAAGGTCAAGTCCAAACAGGGCAAGCTTCAAGGAAGCCAAATCAGAACAAGTACCCCAAGGCAAGGGCCTTTTTCCACTCGTGTTCTTGTTGTTTCTCTGTTTGATCCGTGCGCAACTTATTTTCATCAGGTCCAAATGAGCCGTGTTTTTTTTAATGGTGTGGGGCCTATACACTGGAAGCACATACCAACGCGGAGGCTACGCGGCTGTCTTTCCCCCTAGGAATTTGGCTACGCGGAGGTTACGCGGAACATATTTGTTGATAAGTGGCTACGCGGGGGGCTACGCCGGGGCTACGCGAATACCCGTTGGCAACCGGAAGTTCGTAGTTGCAGAAGTACTAGTACTAGTACTAGTACTAGTACTACTACTACTACTTCTACTAGTACTAGTACTAGCACTAGTAGTAATACTAGTAGAAGTATTAGTAGCAGGAGCAGTGGTAGTAGTAGCAGTAGTAGTAGTAGTAGTAGTGGTAGTGGTAGCAGCAGTAGTAGTGGTAGTGGTAGTGGTAGTAGTGGTAGCAGTAGTAGCAGTAGTAGTACTAGTAGTAGTAGTAGTAGTAGTAGTAGTAGTAGCAGTCGTAGTAGTAGCAGTAGTAGTAGTAATGGTAACAGTAGTAGTAGGAGGCATGTGGGGGAGTGGTCTTGAACACGCCTTGGAGGCTACGCGGAGGCTACGCGCAGGCTACGCTGAGGCTACGCGGAATGAGCGAACTCAGCTCTGGCCGGGCCAAGGCAAATCAAATTCACCCTCTTTCTCTGAGACACGCAAGCTTTCAACCTAAGCCTTGAGCTCAAGACAAAGGATCTAGGCGGAGGCTACGCGGACGATTGTCGACAGCTCCCTTTGCTAGTGGCTACGCGGAGGCTACGCGAGGCTACACGGTCCCAGGAGTAGGCTACGCGGCTACCATGCCAGTTCCCCTCTCCTTTTGGCTCCTGCATTTAAAAAAACGCTGCTCAAATGAGCAGCGCCTTTGGCTTCGATGGCCCGCAGTTGCCCCAAGAAAAACATCACAGAGATGTAGAGAAACTCAATTGAACCTGACGGGTCCCCTTGATCAGGCACCCCATGAAACAGGAAACTAAAACAACTTTGGGCAATTGGCGATGATGTTTCTATGTGTAGTACATATACATATATATGTATATATTCTATATGTACTAGTACATGCACATACGTACATATACACACCTGAATACACACATATACCGTATACCCAATGTTGCTTCTGCGACTGAGTGCGCAAACATCTCTGCAAACGCTTGAAGTCGCCTCTAGTTTGTGGGCTAGTACACAGTTCGCAAGCGTGGCTCCGCATGGAACGCCGTTGCGTCACTGCGTGGCAGCTTTTCAATGCAAACCCAAAGGAAAGCAGCGAGCTATCGTACTGTTTCTGCTCCCGTCGAGAGTTTGATCGGTAGGTCAAAGAGAAGCAAGTCCGCACCGCCGCTCATTAAGGACCGCAGCAGCATCATTCGGTTCACGTATGGTGGGCCCAAAAGTGAGACTGAAGCGCCCGTAAAAGTTGCATGTGGGATTCTGAAACCCTGGCGCATGCTGCTTCAATCTCTCAGCCAGGCAACTCGTGAGGCAAATCCCTGAGCACGCCACTCATACGCGTGCCTAAACCCTGCTGGCCATTTGAGTCTAGGGTTCTACTCGGTTCGTTCGGGACTATGGTGGGGATGCAACCTTTACATTTCCGGAGCAGAAGCACAAGTGCTTAATGACCTTCTGGCATAATTAGAAGAAGCAAATGGGCATGTGTCCCACTCCAGGAAGGGCCTCCTCCAAACCAACCTGCCGGCTTTCCCAAGGACGCCTTGCAAAAGGCAACTGGCCCGTGGATTTCGGGACATGCTCAGGGATTGCTTCTTGAGCCCAACCTGTTTCTTGGGACAACGAACGCACTCCTCTATCGGGGCCACCTAAACGATACATACAGCTTTGCAAAGTGGTTTGCTTTTAAAAAGCAGCACAATTTCGCAATTTGGGGTCAGCCTGAAAAAGCAACCCTGACAGGCCCCCAAAAACAACCGCAAACAATCTTGAGTTGTCCCGGCGGGAGCGTCAGGCTGTGGGCTGTTGTGGCCGCTCTGGCCCGGCCACTGGCGGGAGCCTCAGGTTTTGGGGGCTGTGACGGCTGCGCCGGCCAGGCCACTTGCGGCATCCGTCACAAGCACTGTCACAGCTGTTTGTCACGTCAGCCTGTCACAGTCTCTGTCGCATCTGTCTGTCACAGCTGTTTGTCACGTCAGCCTGTCACAGTCTCTGTCGCATCTGTCTATCACAGCTGTTTGTCACGTCAGCCTGTCACAGTCTCTGTCGCATCTGTCTGTCACAGCTGTTTGTCACGTCAGCCTGTCACAGTGTCTGTCGCAGCTGTCGGTCACAGCTGTTTGTCACGTCAGCCTGTCACAGTCTCTGTCGCATCTGTCTGTCACAGCTGTTTGTCACGTCAGCCTGTCACAGTCTCTGTCGCAGCTGTCAGTCACAGCTGTTTGTCATGTCAGCCTGTCACAGTCTCTGTCGCATCTGTCTGTCACAGCTGTTTGTCACGTCAGCCTGTCACAGGCTCGGTCGCAGCTGTCTGTCACAGCTGTTTGTCACGTCAGCCTCTGTCGCAGCTGTCGGTCACAGCTGTTTGTCACGTCAGCCTGTCACAGGCTCTGTCGCATCTGTCTGTCACAGCTGTTTGTCACGTCAGGCTGTCACAGGCTCGGTCGCAGCTGTCTGTCACAGCTGTTTGTCACGTCAGCCTGCCACAGTCTCTGTCGCAGCTGTCAGTCACAGCTGTTTGTCATGTCAGCCTGCCACAGGCTCTGTCGCATCTGTTTATAGTTGTTTGTCACGTCAGCCTGTCACAGGCTCTGTTGCAGCTGTCTGTCACAGCTGGTTGTCACGTCAGCCTGTCACAGGCTCTGCCGCAGCTGTCTGTCACAGCTGGTTGTCACGTCAGCCTGTCACAGAGTCTGTCGCAGCCGTCTGTTACAGGCACTGTAGCAGCTGTCTGTCACAGCCTCTGTCGCAGCTGTCTGTCGCGGGCTCTGCCGCAGCTGTCTGTCACAGCTGTTTGTCACGTCAGCCTGTCACAGGCTCTGTCGCAGCTGTCTGTCAAAGCTGTTTGTCACGTCAGCCTGTCACAGGCTCTGTCGCAGCTGTCTGTCACAGCTGGTTGACGTCAGCCTGTCACAGGCTGTCGCAGCTATCTGTCACAGCTGGTTGTCACGTAAGCCTGTCACAGGCTGTCGCATCTGTCTGTCATAGGCTCTGTCGCAGCTGTCTGTCAAAGCTGCTTGTCACGTCAGCCTGTCACAGGCTCTGTCGCAGCTGTCTGTCACAGCTGTTTGTTACGTCAGCCTGTCACAGGCTCTGTCGCAGCTGTCTGTCACAGCTGTTTGTCACGTCAGCCTGTCACAGGCTGTCGCAGCTGTCTGTCACAGCTGGTTGTCACGTCAGCCTGTCACAGGCTGTCGCAGCTGTCTGTCACAGTTTTTTTTTACGTCAGCCTGTCACAGGCTCTGTCGCAGCTGTCTGTCACAGCTGGTTGACGTCAGCCTGTCACACGCTGTCGCAGCATTCTGTCACAGCTGGTTGTCACGTCAGCCTGTCACAGGCTGTCGCAGCTGTCTGTCACAGACTCTGTCGCAGCTGCTGTCAGTGTCACAGGCTCTGTCAGCGGGGCAGGGGGGGGGGGGCTAATTGCGGAGCATTGAACATCCCAATCTCCACTAAAATAGACTAAAATGGGAGGTGCACCTACCCCAACATAGGATCCCATTGGTTTTGACAACCACCGCCATTTCGCGAGAGATCGACTCAGCGACTCATCCACGTCGAACGGCTCCTGCAGGACTCCACCCAGCGCCGCAGGCAGAGCCCATGGAAGCGGTGCTGCAATCCGCCCGTGGCGCCCAGGCAATGCATCGCCTCCGCCTCAATTTGTTGATCGAAAACAAACCAGGCGCTCGGTGCGAGAAGTTGGGTGGATCGTCGGTTTTTAGGCTAGGTCCTCCAGATTTGAGAGCTTAGAATAAGGGTACCCTGTTTTTTTTTGTAGTCTATTTCAGTCAGGGAACCCGCCCCCAAAAAAGTTGGTAAAAGGGCACTTCTGGGGGACCTAGTAGGGGAACCCTGTCCGCAAAAGGAAAACCGAAGCGAGAATAAACCCAAAAAACTTACAATGATAGGTAGGAAAAAAATGTGGTGGAATGAAGCCAGGAATCGGTCCCCTCAGAGGAAACCACCAGTTAAATGGTTTAAATCGGGGTCATTCCATTTCTCATTCCCTACTTATCGCACCCGCAACAACACACTTTCTCAAAGATGAGTCAACTCAACTCACAGGAAACATGTACAGGGAATCTCAAAAAAAAGCCCGGGTGTGGCCCATGTCTTGTTCCCTGCCGGTTTCTATGACATGTCCGGCCCCCGATTTTAAATCAAATTTACGCTGGTCGATTAAATCCGCAGTGAATTGGCCAGACTGTTTGCCACTGCCGTCAAAAAGAGTTCAGGAAGGGAGTAAGTTACCCAAGGGCGCAGACGGTAAAGAGAGCCCTGTTGATGAGTAGAGACGCTGCAACACTTGCCAAATGGATCTTCTTTTGGGTTCCTTTGAGAACTTGTGATCTTGGCCCAAGATGAGCCCTGCGTTTTGACACACGTCCTGGATGTTCCAACTTGAGTTATTTTCTTTGCAGTTGGTTGGCAAAACAAGGGTATGCAACCACCTGCAAACAATGTTCAATGAAAAACAGCTCAAGCATGCCTGGACCAAAGGACAATGCTGCTCATTGAGGTCGCTATTTCTGTTGCGGGGGTGCTTTCGTGTAGGCTTGGCCACCTACTGAATGTCTCAAAATGGAGAGCCCCCAAAATGCCGTTCGTTTTCTCCATTTCTGCTCCCTTGTAAAGCATCCATTTTCTAAAGCTTTAAAATTCCATCCTAAAATGGAGAGCTCCCATTAAAGCTTCCATTAACGCCACTCCAAAGAAATAATTACCATCCATTTTCCAACCAAAAAAGACACACACCATCGAACCGAGCCGCGCGGAACCGCTCTCCCAGCTGAAAACGCGCGCCTCGGAACCCACCTCCTCATTACAAATGGAGCACTCTTGGACGGCCTGGCCGGGGCGGCTGGGGGAAAAAAACAAAACCACTGGCGCCTTGTTTTTTCCCCCGAAGGGGGAATGGCAGAAACGGGAGTCGGATATGTGTTTTTTTTCTTTGGGGAAACCACGGAGAGACACACACAAGAATCTCGCGGTTCAAACTTATGAAATAAGGAGCTTCATGGATGAGTTTGTTTGAACAGGTGAGCTGCGCGCTCGCTCCAGAGGAATTCGTTCTCGAACAGCAGGCGCGGATTGATCCCCTTAGCCATGTGGAAGAAGAAGAGCTGTGTGCTCTATTGTTTGCCCAGCTTGACATACTGTCAATTTAAAGCACCTTTCCAGGACCTTCCATGCCAAACCTAAAAACATGACCCCAGCAAGCTCAAGCGAGATTCGCAACCAAACAAAAAACAAGAGGAACAACAGGAACAAATGCAAACATCCGTTCAGGGAGTGGGAGGTTCGCCAGAAACAAGGACCTCTGTTGGCACCCCATTCCAACGCGGCAAAAAATGACAAGAGTTTTCCAAACAAGGCCCTTTTCTCTTTCCCTTGCTCAAACTAGGTACTTCTCGAGAAGTTCCAGTGAAGCCCAAGCCCCGTGACAAATTTCTGAGAGGTAGAAAGACACATGCGGTCGTTCGTACTGATCCTCAGGTCGCAAACAATAGCAAATACCACCACAAAGATTGCCGGCAATCAGATCCTGGTGCAATATGCGATTTGTAAATAAGGCATGCCTCTCTACATCCGAGCATCCTTGTGGGACATTGCAAGGCAATGTGTTTTCTTTTCTTCATCCGGCCGCCTACGTCACCGAACAAAAATCAAACACCTCCATGTGGGCTCTTCGCACTCGCATGGCGGTTTCGAGTTGCCACAACTTCCCTGAGGTGAACTACACTGAGTGGATGAGCCAAAACGAGGCCATAGTGTTTGAGTGCCACTACAGAAAAGGTTTCCAGCGTTTCCCTGTCTTGGAACCTCCAACAGTGGTGACCGTTTCAATGGAGCCACCAGTTCGTTTGCAACTGTATTTTGCCTTTTTGCCTTTCCAAAGCAGGCTCCTTTGTGTGTGTGTGACAAACGATCGCCCAACCAACAGGCTGTAGGCTTCGCTACGTGAGACCCTCACGCGCGGAAAATAAACGGGGAACTCCAGAAGCAAAAGCCAATCTGTGGCCTGTGAGGCCTCCATGGCTTCCGAGGTCGCATGAGGAGTGACGGCGGGCCGTGGAATTTTTGTGACAGCTCTTTTCCTGGTACTCAAATACAAAGCGGAAGTGGTTGGAACCAAAGGACAGCCAGTGGCAAAGGTCGGGTGCTCAACATGGGTTGTTTGCAAGGACCCCTGAGGGGTCCGGGTTCTTCATTGGAGGGCCGAGGGCCTCACCCTGAGGCTTAAAATCGTTTCTTTCAAGTGATTGGGCTCGCCTCGAGCCGGGGTCATTTGGAACGGGCCAAGGTGCTTGGCTCAAGGGAAACCTAAGCTTGCATCCCCAATCCGGCCCGTAAGGAAATCAGGGCAAGCCTCTACCGATTCAGCGAACTTTCCGCACTAAGTAGAGCAGTGGAGCAATCCATGGTTTCAAAGTGGAGCAGTGACCCAATTCACATGTATTAAGTGGATAGGTCTGGCCGCCAAACAGCTCCACCCTCTACTCTAAGTACATACTTTCTACTTGGTTGACGTTGGAAGGGGAGCAAACAATTTAAATTTTAACAGTTAAGTGGGGATTTCCCACTAAGTGCGAAAAGCAGTCGTGGCCAAATGCTTTGTGCAAAGGTTTGGCTAGACTTGCCCTAAATCGAGCCTTCGGGTACGGCGACAAATGCCACAACTTCTCGGCTGCGTCCGATTGCCTAGTTGAGTCGCTCTTGCCTGCCATAGCTTGCCATGACTCTGGCGAAGGCACTCGAAGGTTTTGGAGCTGCAACGTGGACTTTCAGCAGGGTCACAGTAGCAAAGTTTTATCTAGAAATTCCCCTCCAATTGGGGTCATTCCCGGGTGCAGTCCCGGCGTGCGCCGACTCTCAGACGAATTGGACAAAGTCTGGATCCAGCGTTCGCACCATCACTGCATCACTTCCTGAAGTCCCGGTGTTGCCCGTTCTTGTGGGGTATGATTGGCCTCAAAATCTGGTTGAATTCATGTGTGTGCGCCCTACTGTTCGTTACACCCCCAACAGGATGGATGAATTGTTCATTCAGAGAAACCAACCCACAGCTTGTTGGCTTCCCAATCATTTCAAAAGATGGCTGGTTTAAAGGACAGGGAAGGCGAGTCGCGATTGGAAGCCAGGCGATCTTTCTGGGGAGTTGCGCTCCAACTATTGACAAGTTGCCGGCTAAAAAAAGAAACAATACAAGCAAGCAAGCAAGCAAGAAAGCCAGCAAGCTCTCAAGCAAGCAAGGCACAACACAAACAAACCAACGCACCTCCAAACAAAATCCTCAAAACAACAGCACACATTATAAGGGGAAAAAGCTAAACAACATCACAAATCGAAACCCGACCACTAAAATGACGTGGACAGCTCAACAAGCCAAATTCAACACTAACAAAACTACAACAACGCTAACAAACCCAAGACAGCACTGACAGCGAAACCAACAAGCAGCATCAAGAAAAACAAGTCACCACTGCGTGCCTTAAAACAACAGCGAAACTTGGATGACCCTGAATGTGTTCTAACCATGAGTTACTAAACACCAGAAAACAAGTGGGAGTCCCGAAAAGATTAAAAATAAAATAAATAAACTAATCACGGTTCAGATTGAAAAAAACAACGACTGAGCTTTTCGGTAGCAAGACTGACAATCACAGGTTGTTTGTTTCCTGACCCGCTTCTTTCCAGGTGCTGGAAGCCTATAGGAACGTGTTCCTTTCGGATGCGGAACCAAAACAAGACATGCTCGTCCCGCGAATGCGATCGGAACCCGCTGACTGGTTGCTACTTGGGTCTGGACCCTCGCCAGGTGCGATCGCTTCTTGCCACGCGCTTTACCCCAAACACCAGCAGTGACTAAACAAAGCAACAGCAACTTGGAAAATGTTAGCCCCGGAATGATAAACCCCTGGTTGATGTTGATCGGGGGGTGTCCCTTTTAGTGGTTGGATTCAGACCTAATAGCGGGACGGGTGGATGAATCCTGTCGGGGACTTTGGACACATCAAAACTAGGACATCGTTGAAAGCACATAGTTTAGGAACACCTGGTCAACTACATGCCGGAGCAAAACAAGCAAAAGAAGAAGCGACTTCAAGCTCTGTAGGTCCTTCTTTTTGGTTTTCCTTTGGCCCAAAGCCGGAAAAAACTACACTCCGCCAGGCGAAGATGGAAGTACACAGGAGGGGCTTGGAAGACGACTTTTGCCTTTTTGGGGCAACCTCTCTGTCCACTTCCACGTTGGTGGGAGGGACTGGCTCAAAATTTAACCATCGGAGGGGTGCAGATGTTGGTCCATGTTTAACCACTTGACAGGGTTCCATAATGGAATTTCGTGTTTTTTGAGCCACAGCCCATGTTGGGAGGGACTCCTCCGCTTGCGCCGTGACTCTCCGTGACTCCGTCGGTTTATTTCCAACTCGGTGCTTGGCCCGGCACGCCCGCGGGGATGAGCCGCAAGCTCGGGGCCTCCTCTCCCAGGCACACCTCGCGAGAAGCGTACGTTGGGGTTCGGTTTTGAGGAAAAAACACAGGGACGTCCGGTTGGTGTTTAAGGGCTAGGTCCTCCAGATTTGAGAGGTTTGAAGTTGGTGCCCGATTCTTGTCGGCTTTGTCTATTATAGAATACGGGTACCCGTTTTTTTTCAGTCTTGCCTATTTTAGTGGGGGAACCCTTTCCAGAAAAAGGGCAGAGAAGGGCACTACTGGAGGACCTAGAGAGGAACCAACTGCCACCCAAGCAGGGCAAAGGGTTCCCCATTTAGAAGGCACCTCTCAGAAGTAACTGGACTTCCCCCTAAAATCATACTACTGGTGGTGTCCATTGAAAGGAGAAAGCCACTTTTTGAGGCTCCAAGAAGGGGGATGGCTCGGAAACCCTGGTTCGAACACCGCCAAGAGGAAATTTTATCCCCTCAGTTCAGCCCAAAGGTGATGTGTAAAACGGGAAAGGTAGGGGAACCTGTACAACTGGCTCCATTCAAAGAACTGGGTCCGTCAAAGTGACATCCTCAAACATAGGTGGGCTTTTGGGGAAAAATCGACCCTGGTAAATGGAATAAACCCCATCTAAACAAGGGCCCTCTATTTTTAAACAAACCAACCAAAAAGGACACCCATGTCCTCAAAAGGCTCAAACAAACAACCAATCCAAACGTCATGTGGAGAACCCTCAACAGGTTCACTTTAAGGAGTATAAGGGCCCAACAGAAAACGGATGGCGTTGTGGGGTACGTACAATTAAACCAAGATATTGGCCATCATAGCAAACGGTACGCCAAGCAGGGGTATGCAACTTGACGGGAATACTTTCGAGCCAACCAATTCTTCACTTAAAGAGGGGAGTTCCATGGTATCAACCAAGAGGGACAATTCCCTTCGTTACAACCAATGTTTATTCCAACGAGCACAACAGATTGAGAGTTGCTTAGATCACCACAGGTCAAAACCAACGGAAAACCAAACAAAGACACACACACATGTCAAAGGAAACCAAGAAAACACCAAGGGAAAACAAAAACACCTAGAAAACCAAAGGACACCAAGAAACCAAAGGGCAAAGAGAAAATCTGAAGAAAGCAACACAAAACCGAAATAACGCTGAAAGAAACCACAAGGAAACCAAAACAAGACAAACGGACACCCACATCAAGCCGCAGGTCTATTGCGTTTCTGGGGTGACAAACCGGATGTGGGCATGTTTTCTTGTATGTGGGTCTTAAAGGGAAGCCCTTCTCCCCCTAAACAAAAGGGACACGTTCTGAAACCCAGTGGCAACGTAAACAAAAAACAGGCACCTGTGTTTGGTTGATGTTAAAGGGATTCCATTCCCCAAAGAACAGGGGACAACTAGTTTTCTTGGTTGTTGTTGACCACTCCGCGAAACATGTGCATCACTTTTTGTGAGTCCAATCCGGAAAATCCATAAGTTTCAATCACAAAGCTGTTCAAAGAGCCGCTACCAACTAGCCCTAAAGATTGGGTGCGGTTGGTTTTCAAGACATTGGTTTGAGCATTTGGTTTGGGTTGCCCGGTTTTCAGCAAGAAACCGCACCTCCTTGGTGTGGCTGGAGGGCCCGTCTGCCCGAAAAAAACCGAGAATTACGCTCTCCGGTCGCTCCGGGCGAGGGGCGAGCTCACAGCGAGGGCTCCAGAAGAGCACCGATTCCGCCAGATCCACCTCGTTGGGCGGGCAGGTGCGGGCGTGCGGTGGCATTGGGGAGAGATCGCCCCTTGCGATCTCAAAATTTCTCCAAGTAAAAAGAAAATACCCAAAAAGTATGCTGAATTAACATCTGATGTTACATGTACACCTAAGATTCCAGAGATAATTTGTAATAAAATAGTAAATTCCTAATAACAGTCCAAGAATCCAAAAATAATGTATGATCAGAGAACACGGATATGAATTTAAATTATATTTTATTAGCAATACAAAATAAATATTCAACATGATAATAATAAATTTATAATTATATTTATCATTTATTGTTCATTTGTCTGTCTTTATTTCCTGCATTTGTGTTTATCATCTTTTCATTTCTATAATTCTCCATTATTATGCATCATGTGATGTAAACATATTATTATCTTAGTTATTTCTTGTATTTTTCTATTTATTAATCTTGGAATGACTTGCCGGTTCACGGTGCACCCCTTCTTGCACAGAAAAACATAGATACACCAAAGCCAGAAGTCGGACCCCTTAACGGAAGCCATCTGCAAAACCAGCAGTGTGGAGTCCGATTTCCTACAAGACACCCCCACATGCATCTAGCAAACCCACAACTTCCACTAGGCTTCTGTTGATCCAAGCTATTGTCCAGTAATAACTACCGGCGGTGCCAACCAATCCCCAAGGAAAGCAAAGCCCGCCATCGTTGCAGATTAGCAACGAAACTCAAAACTCAGTCTCCCGAAAGCGCCCAAACTACTTGATGGGCCAAGTTGCCGAACAACTTGATGGGCCAAGTTGCCGCTGACGCAAAGCAAAGTCGTAGATCCAGAGTTGTCTCTTCTTTCATAAGTCAACTTAATCCAGTCACCTGCAATGCCTTGGTGGAATTTGCATTTCTTGCCCGGACACGGAACTCACTTTACCGGAACAAGCTCTTGGCTGCTGGAACGACCCCTCA